GTAAAATGGTAGATTTCTCTGCACGGTGAGAGCAAAGAGTGTGCCTGGCAGTGGGCGGACGGGGACGATGGTCAACTCAAAGAGAAAGCAGCTAAAAAGAGCTGAAGGCTGTGACTCCCTCGAGATTTGGATTTACTTTGGACTTCAGTGTCCACTGGTTTGTGTGGACTTTGGAAATTTGTGTGCCTTTTCCATCAGATTGGGGGTCTGGATAAAGGATGTCAGTGTTTTGATGATCTGCTCAACAATTCTGCAAAAAAATCGAACATTTTTGGGAAATTTTGAAAGTTGCCGGTTTTTAAATATTTTTATGAAATTTTGGGGCATTTTTAAGGTCCAGTTTTTACGGTTCGTGGGAATTTTTCTGGATTTTCTTCTCACCATTTTCCGAAAAAAGGCTTGGTACAAAAATTAATTGAAGTAGTACCAAATTTTGTCAAATTTGAAAATATTTTGTAACCAACTGGATTTAAATTGTCTCAACTTGATGACAAATTTAAAATTCGCGAGAAATACGTGTTACTAATGTATTAACAAATACGTATACAACTCGGTAGTGATTATTATTCTTTTATCGAGGCTTAAAAAATTAGTTAGCCAACCAAAATTTCTGCAGCTTTGGTAATAAATTCAGCCTTATCTTACCAAATTATTTCCAGCGTAATGAAACGGCACATTTAATTGACGACATAAGTTCCGCACGTCCCCTGGGATGTGAAGGGACTGGAATATTATGATATTTTGGAGAGTTTATGTCTCCATAGCTGTCCAACAGTTGTTATGGCGAAGAGCAGCGAGTGAAAGCAGGACACACTTTGTGAGCCAGTCTGTTTATTTATGTCATGTTCAGACTCCAGGCGTTTTAGGTACATGGCTCCTACATATTCAAATTTGGAAAATGTACTAGGAGAAAATTGTGAAATTTGTATGAATTTCGTGTATTTGAAAGGATTGCTTCAAACAGGATGTATCCAAATTTAGGGGGTTTTAGTGGGGGGCAAGATATCCTTCTGATTTGGGAGGTCAAGTCGAAAGACATGTTCTCAGTTTCCAAAGAGAAAGTTTATGAAGTTTATTCAAAATTTAAAATTATCGAAGTAGTTTTTTTTATTTCTTGGGATAAATTCTTCCCTTTACGCAATTTAATTCTGTTTTTCTCGTTGTTTTTGTGCGCAACGTTCAAAACGCTAGTTTTTTTCTATTCTTTGGTAATTCTGTTCAAGGATGCTCCAGATGCGAATCGGATGCATTGAGTGAGTTTAGTTTAGAGAAATCGTATCTCATTCGGGGGTTGGTGGTGGAATTGCGACACGAACGAACACGTTCTGAGGTCAGTCGGCCAGTTAGTTTAGTGTCAAAGTGGGTCCTTCTCTCGGAATCAAATTGGGACGAAATTTGGTCTCCTATTTACTTTCACCTTCCAGTAAATTGGATCAAGTTAGTAGAATGAGGAGGATTCCGTGATGTGCACGTTTTTTCAATTATTTTCTATTTTTGTCTTGATTGCTTTCACCTGGTGAAAGAAGTCACACATTTTTTTCTTGAGGAAAGTCACCCCCAAATTTATAAATGAATTAAACTGGTGACAAAAAAGTGACGGGAATGTAATTAATTTGTATCTAATTTAATGTTGGTGCAACTGTATTTTTGTGAAATTTGAAAAATTTTCCCCCAGACATTTAAAATCTTGACGCTTTCTCGTTTGTTGAATTCCCATTACGTTAGGCGACACGCAACAACGCCTGCATCGTCACAAATTTCGAAAATTGAGAAACTCAAAATACTTGTATCGTGAGGGGAGTCGCAAAGTATGATTTCGGAAATCCGTACGAACAATTGTGTGATCCTATTTTAATTCGGTTTCCTAGTTTAATTCGAGCATTTAATGGAGATGAGTTTGAGACAAAAATCTTGCGAAATAATGGTTGGATAAATTTGCGAAAAAATTCTATGGTTGTTAAGCAAAAGGTTTGCAAAATTCGCAAGTGACCCTACGCTCAATTTCCAATATCCGATCAGCAGATTATCTTCTACTCTGTACTTTCCAGAAAGCTAGGCTTCTCAATTTTCACTATAAATATTTGATTTCAGTCATGTAAAATTTTACAAAACCTTCACAAAATTGTATATATTTTTAAAACTCAAATATACTAAACAAATTTATAAAATTGATAAAACTAATTCAACGCATCAAGTTCATGAATTGTTGATAAAGTGGACAAAATCATGCTAATTTGAGTAAAAATTATTTCACGTTTTATGTAAAATCTTGACAAACTTTCTCTTTTTGATCCTTCCCAGACGAATTGATTCGAACGAGGTTGAAGTGGAAATTCGTGGAGGTGGTGGCGAATTGGTGGTCCCGCTCTCTTCCTCCCCTGGAATGACGGGCACCACCGAGTACGACTTCACCACCGCGCTCACCGTCACCATCACCGTCGGCGTCGCTCTCATCGCGCTTAATTTGGTCGTCTTCTCGGCCATCATGTGTCACCGGAAGAGGGCCATCCCGGCCAACAACGAGGGCGGCGGGGGCGGACGTGACAGTGACGAGGTGGACGAGAGTGGGAGGAGTTTGGGGGGTGGGACGCCTCAAAAAGGAGCAGTCGAACAGTATCAGCAAGCTCAGGTAAGTTGAGTTACTTTTTTGCGATATACTACACTATAATTGATTTGGTAATAAAATTGGTAGTTTTACCGAGTTGATAAATTGTTGATAAAAATATATGTTACCGAACGGTAGCAATAATTTTGCACGAAATTCGATATTTTTACACTTGTTTGTGCGTGAGATTTATGAACTTGAATTGTGCTTATTAATTTTACCGAGCGGTAGAAAATTGTTACCAACAACTCGGTTCATCGGTATGCATTTTGTTCCGCTCAGACTTATATTATCCCTAAAACAATTAATATACTCTGTTCGCAACAATTTCATGTCAATAATTATGAACAAAATTTTACCTTCTAGCCTCGCATTACATAAATAAGCTTGAGTCTACTGCCTATTTAATTATTGTCACCATCCGGTATCAAATTTGTTAGCCACCAGAGCCCATCTTAAGTCTACATTGTTTAGAACGCATTCATCTTTTTTCTAGCTTCAGGAGCAAAAATTGAAGGTGTGATTTATGCCGAGGCGAAAGTGCGGGTGTCATTAAGGGCGGGAGGAAGTGAAAGTAGGCGAAAGTCTTCGTGGCAGGAAAAGTACAATCAATTAAATGCACATTAAAAGCGAAAGGAGAAAATGTCAGCGACTTCGGGAGAGCTTTTTTTGGCCAGGTTTGCGTTTTATTTATAGTTTCCTAACGTGGGTGGCGGAGGTCGAGTCGAGATTACATAAGACGAGATCCTCCTCTTTTTGCAGTAAATCAGATTTTGTTCGTACAGTGATTAGGTGAAAGCTGGTAGAGAAAAAGTTAATGTGTGGCTAGTTTTGTATGGAGAATAAGCACATTTTATGAGGAGAAAGTATTTTGAGTGGCGAAAATTTATACAAAACTATAACTTCGTAAACGACAAGTTACACAGAATTTCATAAAACAGATAATTGTTAAAATGTGTAAAACTTAAATTGAAACAAATAACAAAATATTTTAGAAAAATGCCAGACCTGAATTTTCCTAGAGTTTCTTTAAAAATACAAGTATTTTAATTCCGAAAGTCCTTAAAATAGTAGAAATCCACTTTACGTCTTCCTCACTTTCTCTCTTTTCTACATAACTCTAAAATTTCTCCATTTCAGGAGGACTACAATTGGTCGACGGCCTGTTGTTCGTCCTCGAACCACCACCCGAACCACCCGCAGCCGCAGCAACATCACCCTAATGACTTTCCAACCACTCATTTATCATCCTCCTCGGTCTACATGCCCGCCGAATCCATCTCAATGTCCCAGTACCACCAGCACCACTTTCACCCGGGTAACAGCGGTGGCGGGACGTTGCCTCGGTCATCGCACGGTCACCAGGGTCACCACCTCGCCTACGAGACTCCCACGGGCGGGGGGACGCTCAAACGGGGAACGTACCATCACCACTGGAACCACATTTTGGCGATCCCCGACTGCGTTCAGCCCGTCCCAAATGCCGTCATTTTAGGAGATGGCGACGACTTTCACCAAGAAAGGCACGGATTCGACCATAATTTATCCGGAGGAGGTGGGTCAAGTATGAGATTGTATATGAACCAAAACGCCGTCGTGGTGGGTGAGTAATATTTCATTTGTTTTAAAGATAAAATTTCCAATTTTTGAGGTTTGCATAAAAACAGAATTTTGATGGTGTGAAAATTAGATAATTTTGTGAAATCGGTTGATTTAGGATTTTTTATAAAAAATTTCCGAGTATTGAAGAGCAGCAAAACAATTTGTATCAAATTAACGCCAAATTTAATTTAAGTTAATGTACAATTTTATGATGCATAAATTAGATCCATTTTTCCTATTGCGAAAACAGCGTAGAATATAAATTCTTACAAATGGAGTAAACAAGTGTCCGAATCAACAAATTTCTAAAATGGCATCAATTTCGTAATTTTCGAGATAAATGAAACTTTAGATACCACAAGGTTAATTTTATTTATTAGTTAGATATAAAGTTAATTTTTGGCACTACAAAACTATCAATTTTAAAAAATAGCGAATTCGTTTTTTATGAAACTAAGATATTGTGAAAAATCGCAAATAAATTAGCAAGTTGGTTAAGAATTAATAAAAAAAACTGGGTTACAAAAATCGACCAACTTAAATTATAAGTAGGTATTTATTTACTTTCCTGAGGTGGCAACATGCTGGATATCTCGCCCCCACCGGAAGGACCAACCCTGCTCATTCCGCGCGACGTCCCGCCACCTTCAAACATTCGGCGGGGATCAGGCGGATCTACCTTGTTGGCGGGAAGAGGAGGAATTTTTTTATCTCAGAAACCTCAAAATCCCATCGTGCCTTGTTCCTCGAGCCCTTCGGCGTCCGCGACGAATTCCACGTCCTCAAATCCATCCCCGAACAGCGGGAGTAAAACTTTGGTCGGGGTTCTGAAGCGGAACATGACGCCGAATAATCCGTCCACGGTTAAAAAGAGGGTCCAAATTCAGGAAATATCCTTCTGAATGTTAATTTAAGGAAATTTAAAATCAAAATATACCAATAAATATGTCGAGAAAACTCAGAATGTCTTGCATTGGGTTACATTTAGCAAATATTCGATTTAAGAGATTATTTAGCTTGCGAAATTTCTTTGTCCAAATTGTCCATCACAATTCGATGAAAAAGCGTAACAGATTAAAAATAAAACTGAACGAGCTGCACGAGCTGCCCCATTTGATGCCATAGATCATGAAGACAAATTTCCACTATAACTGAACCGTACCTGTATTGTACTTGTGTAATAGTATAATAATATAATCATTATCTAGTCTACTTCTATGGACTAAACAAGGTTCTAAATATAACCGACGATAAGCAGACCTATACATACTGTGATATCGCATAAATGCCTTGTTTCGCAACTACTTTTACTTGCAAAACTGTTACATACATTTAGTACTTGTATGTTAAAACTCAATGAAATAAAACAAATGTTTTTACGTGAAATTTATAAATTGATGACTTTTTTTAATTTAATCGACAAATATGCATAGAATCTACACTTCTGTGAAAGTTTTGCAGTTCGTCACCACACATTTTAAAAAGTAGGTTGTCAAATGAGGTTGTAAAATTCCATTATAATTTGTTGCTAATTTTCTGAATGGCGTAATTTTTAAATGGGAATGATTAAAAACCATGCACTTGAGATTATCAATTTATTTTATTGCAAGGCATTACATAACTTAAAATAGGTGGTGTTGCATCGTAACAGTAACATGGATGGAAAGTGATCATGAGTGAATGAACATTTCTCCGCCGACTTTTGGCCCCCATCTCATAAATCTTTACACAATAATCTAATCCGATCCGTGCAATTCCACACAAGGAGAAAGTACACTTTTAAAGACGTGAAGGGATTATTTTTTGTTGTCGATGCCGTTGTCTGGGAATTTGTTATAAAAAATTGGTCATAAAACGCGACAAGAAACAATGAAAAATTTGTTACCAAAAGAAATGTACAGTTTGATAAGGTTTGGTGACGAAATAATGTATTCCCGCTTGATGAAAATAATTGTCTGAACTATAGATGTGCTAATCCCAAGTTTGCAATATTGTGTAAAATTAATTTTGAGAATTTTACATCCACAAATTTTTGTTAGGAAAATAACTAAATCAAAATATGCAAAATATAAGATAACCCTGATTTTTAAAAAAATAGTGTAAAACGGAAGTGATAAAAACAGATACAAAGTATACACAATTCTCAAAAGATAATAAATTTTTATTATTTCAAAATTTAATTTAATTTTAGTTATGTAGAACTCAAAAAAGATAGAATGGTAACAAAACAAAAAGGCGATTAGTATTTCCTTTAGTTGTTAAGTTCGTAACCAAATTTTTGGTAGTGAGTAATTCTTAATTTATAAAAAATACATAAAGCATAACAACCACATTTTCGACAAAAACATCTTTTTAATAGTAAAATTTTGATGAAATGGCAAACTTTTATAGGTCGGTATTACCGCCTGGTAAAAAATGTTTTACAAATTTGGGTCTGTATTTCTGAGAGTGTGAAACACTATGTGGGATGCAGTGCAGTTAACATATTGCAATCCAAACCACTGGTGGAAGCACTTTGATAATTGCTGCGAGAATCTGGTCGGGATCATTTGTACTCAACTTTCAGTTTTATCACTGCCTCCTCGCGTCTCAGGGAAAGCCACAGGTTCGGAAATGGCAGCCCAACTTTAAAGTGATCACGAGGGACTTCTTATTACTCCAGATGGATGACTACTCAAAACGTTAGAGAAGAAAATCAAGGCAGAAGGATGTAGGGTTTAGGAAACCGGAAATGAAGAAAATCATGGTGCAAGCCAAATGATTTAGATTTAAATTTCATCATTTATTTTGTTTCAAACGAATATTAAACATCCACTTTCTACAGAATCATGGTGCACAGAAGTAACGTGCGCACGCAATTCTTCAGAACTTTGCACAGTTAGGGCAAGGATTATGGGAACCCCATCACTTCGTATTTTGGCGGGAAAGTAGTCAAAAAGTAGGTTTTTGAATCTGAATTTTTTGGGCAGCATTCAAGATACACTCTTAAAAACTTGGTATTGAAAAAAACCTAACGGTATTGATACGTGACTCTACCGCTTTGGTATTAAACGGTTATACCATATTGGTATAGAACCAGTATTGAAATTATACCTCATAGTAATAATTTTAATACTAATTGGTATTACATTTTTTACTACGTAGTATTAATTCAATACCGGATCAATACCACGCGGTAGAGTCACGTATCAATACCAACGGTTATTGATTTTTTTAAGAGTGTATATCTAACTGCTTCAGTCCAAAATTTCAAACGTTTGCGATAAAAAACAAATTTCCTACAGCATATCAAAGCGAGGAACTCGCGAAACGGGTTGCACACAAGTGCCAGAATTTGATTGACAACGACTCGATTAAGGCTTGACTACATTTCAAAGGAGAAGGGGGTGGGCGTAAAAAAATTGAGACATACATAAAAAAGTATGGAGAATCCGAAAATGTAAGCTTTAAATGACTACCATTTGAAAAAACCATTATATCGACCCCTCAAAAGTTAGAAACGATTGAATCGTTTTTTGAAAATTATCCATCCACGTCGGTGCCTTATGCGGCCATGAGGTCAAAGATTAATACAAACCACTTGTATCATATTAGGGCCTATAAAATGGGGGTCAAAGTGTATGCAAATAAACCGCCAAGAAAACATACGGAAACCGAAGAAAAAATCTCACCAAAAAAATTGGTCACTAACGACGAGTCCTACGTCCTTAAAAACGTGACATAAACTCCGGGAAGGCAATTTTTTCATGAGAAATATATCTGTCAACTGAAAACCGAACAGAAATTAAAACTTTTTTCGAAATTTCTCAAAAAATCTCAGGTTTGGCTGGCGTTCGGTCAATTTGGGCAAGTTTCGGACCTTTGCGTTCAAGCGGGCTGTATAGCGACACAAGTTGATTTTCAGAATTGTGTGATACACCGTCTGATTCCTTTCATCAAGGTGTATCATAAAATATAAAATGTAATTTTTTGGACCGACCTTGGACTAATCCACAGTGCAACAACTATGAAAGATGAAATCGAAAAAAATTCAACTTTATACTGAAAAATGTAAATCCCACATACACCCCTCCTCTCCACTCAATAAAAAAAATTTTGGCTGTATGTAAGAAGCCATACTCCCAGCTTCGAGAAACAGTCGATACTTCAAGAAAATTTCGGTTCCGGGGGGAGAAAAAATGAGCAATAAATTAGCAAAGTCTTCCAGAAAAGCATTAACGGCGGGCGTGAAGAAAAACATTCAATGCGAGATGGAAAATGGACTTAAGTCTTATTTGTTCAGGATCTAGAAGGCAATATATATGTACAGTATTCTACACAAATTTTGGACTTCTGGAACAGGTTTTTGACCACTTATAGGACCAAAGTCCAAGTGATCGGGTTCCCATAATCCTTGCCCTAGTACGTTTTTGCGCGAATTAAAATACCAAAGGTTGATTTTTAACGTGGTGACGAATTTGTCGTTGAATAACCCCGGAACGGTTTGTCGTAGCGGGTCAAAATTTTGAACAGGGGAGCATGTTATCCTCAGATGGGGGTGTGCAAAAATTCAATTCTCTACTTTCAAAAATGCCTCCCCCACAGCCCCCAGAAGTTGAAACACTCATTTTTACTGTTTCCAAACTTAAATGCTCATACAACCGAACTACTAAGCATTTTAAAAGTGAATGGAAAACAGTTTAGAAATCTGCAATCAATAAGGTATTGAAAAATATAGGTGAAAAGCGATAAATTTTGAGTAAAGGGCAACCACCACCCCCTGAAAGAAGGCAAAAAAAGTGTAAATTCCGACCGTGCATAGGAAAATTGACCTATTGACCTCCAAAGACAATCGACCGATCCAAAAGGAAATTTCCCGTACGGTTGGGATATCTAAGCGTTCAGTGAAAAGCTAAATTAACATTTTGAAGAAACGACTTGGTCGGAAAAGTCGTGTGCATCAGCTGACCGAAAAGCAGGAAAAAAATGGCGCCCGTGTTGACAAAAAAAATTATTCGAATTTTCTGTGAAGGAATCAGAGTGAGTTATTCGTGACATTTGACGACGCACTAATTTGTCTATAAGTTACTAATTAGGTTCGAAGAGCTTACTACACGACAAATGCCGAAAACAATTCACGCAAGTTGGTGCTTATTTGTAAGGAGAACTTTTTTAAACAGTTGATGGTCGTGGGTGGAATGTCGGGTCGTGGTGTCCTCCCACTTATCAAAGTCCCCCAAAAAGTGAATAAATCTTCGAAGTATTATGTGGATCGTGTTCTGAAACCACTTTTAGAATAACATTTTCCTAAATTGCAAGGTAAAAAAAATAATTAAGGTGATTTTTCATCATGACGGGGCGTCTTCCCAGACGGCAAAGTTAACCCAAGATAATGCCAACTGCTTTGAAGCTAGATTGGGGATAAAAATCATTTCGAATAGTGAAATACCTGTACAATCCCCCGATATAGGGTCAGTGCGGGTTAGTGTGGCCACTTTTTTCCAACTTTGGGTTCTGCAGTGAAACAAAAATGGTTGCGAGTCAAAAATACCTATTTAGAACATCGTGTATTTCTATTTAACTATTTGGCTGTAGTTTATGACCAAAAAAAGTTAAAAAATATAATTGGAAGTATTATTTATCAATTATTCAAAATCAAAAAACAGTGTCCACACTAACCCTACCAAATGGGGTTAGTGTGGCCAGTGGAAGGATTAGTGTCGACATGTATATACGTTAATGCACACATGATTTGGATTAAAATGCTTTTCGAATTTAAAGACACCAAGCCATGTGGTATGTCACCCAGTTCGATAACAAGATTTCCACCACACCCACACCCTCTGGGGGCGTGGTTTCCAAATTTTAGTTATTCAGTGGAAATCTTAACTGCTGAGAGAAATGATGTATGTACGTCATCGCTTGGTGTCTTCAAACTTAAGAGTGAGATTCTTTCATGGGGATAAGAAAAATTAAATATCATACTAAATAATTTCGTGAAAGCCGGAAAGGCGTTGAGGACCACACTCACCGGGGGTGTGGTTGCCAAATTTTTATTGTTCGTATAATTCTTTCCCTCCAGAGCTGATACGAACAACATATTACGTCGCCTGGTTTTTTAGTATGAAAAAGTCAAAAACATCGAAAAATACACCCACTTGGGGGTGTGGTTGCTACATTTTAGCTATTTAATCGAGATTCCCTTATCTACCTGAGAAAAATGATATGTCACAAATAATGGTTTGGCTAAAATATAAGTCCAACACTAATCTATCACTACTGGCCACACTTACCCCTCAATTCATAATATTGGAGGGTTAGTGTGGACACCAATTTTTTAATTGACTGGACAGCTACTTTATTAAAACATTAATGTACAAATATAATATGGGCGCATATTATGTTGAGTAAAATTAATTATAATGCTGGCATTACTTAATGTCTATGAAATCCAAATTTAAACATCACCTGATTTAATTGATCCGAAAAGGTTTTTAATTATGAAATTTTGATCGCACTAATTTTGTGAGATAATGAATTTTCCGAGTTCTCCAAATTTATTGTTCAGAACAAGAAGGAGTTGTAGTTTGATGTTAAATTTTTTGTTTTTTAAAAATTCGTGGTTTTACCATAGAAAAATCGTTTGGCCACAATTGCCTCGTGGCCACACTAACCCGTACCGACCCTAAGTCAAATGAACTTATTTGGGGTCGGATACTTGAAAACAAAAATTTTTCTGCGGAGACCGAATTTTTTAGACCGAGTTTGGAAACAGTAAAAATGAGTGTTTCAACTTCTGGGGGCTGTGGGGGAGGCATTTTTGAAAGTAGAGAGTTGAATTTTTGCACACAACTATCTGAGGATAACATGCTCCTCTGTTCAAAATTTTGACCCGCTACGACAAACCGTTTCGGGGTTATTCAACGTCAAATTCGTCACCACGTTAGAAATCAACCTTTGGTATGCAGGATTTTGTCTGCAGAAAATATTCTCTCGAAATCTATCAAATTCTGGACAGACCTTTAACAGCAAAATTTGACACAAAAGTAATATAACCCACACCGAACATGAACTAAAATTGCATTATAAAAACAATTTAAAACTTAACAAACGAATAAAAATATTTGAATCATCAATAATTTAATAATAATTTAATCAATAATTTAACCTTCAATAATTTAATCTAAAAAATGTTAAACTTCAATTGAATTAATTAAAAATATAATTACTGGATGTAAAACTATACAAATCATGTTAATTTTCAAAATTTCTGCAGGGTAAAAATATTTACGATAATAATGAATTATTTTTAACCACGGAACACTGTACTTTCCCCACATGCTTAAATCACCAATGTCAAGACAACCATTATTTTCCATGTCGAGCTGATGCACTTCTTCGACTTCTTGCACCAAAATTTCAACAGAAATTGCACATCCGTCGCGTCACCCAGAGATCGACGACAACTAAAAGTTTTAAATCTCACAATTATTACTCTCTCGTGTCGTGCGTGGTGACGTGCGAGATCTGTTCAAGCAATTAAAACCGACAAGAGGAAGGAATTATCGTTTTTTTGGGCCATTTCAAATTCAACCACTCGAATTAACTGCGTGATTTGACTTCGAATTGGTTTGGGCGTTCGTAACTACAGTTTAAAGTTAGTTTTATATGGGATGCAAAATAAGAAAACAATGAGGAAATTAAATAACTTGGGCTTATGTATCCTAGTAAAATGCAAATTTTAATCGGCACTACTTTAGAGTAGTATTGCATAAATGTCCGGAATTTCGGACATGGCATAATATCAGAAATCCAATATTAAAATAATGTCAAACAGTATTCAGGTGTGACTCTACCAAAGTGGCATTAATTAGCAATACAGTGCAGTGATAGCTCGTTATGCTAAATCGGTCGCAAATTTTTACGGATCGGTATAATTTTAATATCGAGCGGTAGCAACTTTAATACCGAGAGCAATACCTGAGTGAGTATACCAGATTTCTAACAGTGCATAATATTAATCGAATGGCGACCACGTGGCATAAATCCTGGAGAGTTGTATCTGTGTATAAAATTACTCCTAATTAGTTTTATTTTTGCGCAGTCGCTTTTAAACATTATTATTTATTTGCCAGGCATTGAGAAAAATTACGTGGATGGTTGTTGGACATACATTTTGTAAACATTTGCGTAATAAAGAGAGCTGAGATTTCTCCAAGCTTAGTTCACTATAAGTACGCAACTAAGTTGCGTAAGTTCTAAATTTATTCTAACCCATGAATTTAAGAAGTAATCTTGCTGCTCAAATTGAACATAGATTTTAGTCGCGAATCCTTGCTGTAATTTTTTGTCACAAATAGACACAAAAAATGCTAAATAATCAATATTTAAAAAACTGCATTTCATTTTGATTATACCATTTGAAGAAAAAAAAATTATTGCATTTCATGATTTAAAACACACTTATTCCAAACCACGTGTCGTATCTAACCACTGAATTGTTACTTCCAGATTAGTAAACTAACGATATTGGTATTAAAGTTGAACAATGAATTACTGTAAAAATACATCAATTTAACATCCCGTGTAAATTAGTCGTGAAAAATTTCCCAGAAAATTTGTACGAACTAGATATTTGGACTTCACTCGATTTTTTTCTGGAATTAATGTCTTGATGGATTTGATGGGTGTGGTGCGTATGGTAGGATCGACTAGTAGACATTTGCACCCACTTTCACTTATTTTTACCCCGTGGATGAAATCAGATTTGGAGGAAAGCAGATCTGTCTGATCGATGGGCAGGTGTAAATTGTAAAATGGGTGATTTTCACTTACTTGTCTTCTACGTGAGTGAGCATAAAGCAGTCGAGACCAACGGACCAAAGGACGTGCAGAAGTGATGCTGTGATTTTCTGGTAATAAATGGGGTTAAACAATTATGGGGACGGAGGTGATGATTTATTACTGAATTGTGGTAATATGTCAATGATGGTAAAATTTTGTACCAACCTCCAAGAGATACCTTCGCGTAGCTTCTCAAGTTTGAACTTCATGGGCAATTGTCAATTACAAATTTGAATTTTGGAGGCCAAATTTGCAACGCGGTGAAGCCTAAAAATTGTCAAAGTTGGTTTTGTTATCTTACATTATCATTCGCAAGGTAAGCAATTTCAGAGAAAATCTTGAAAATATTCCGCTATTGGTACACAATTTCGAAAACAATTATTAACAAGAATTTTTATTCAACTTCCATAAACAAATTTCGAACTGCTGCCAGACAAAGAGAAAATCTGACCATCTTTCTGCACGGCCCAGATCGCGGGGAGAAAGTTGAATTGAATCGAAGCCTCCGTGTCGATAATAAAGAAAGCAATAAATCTAATTTCGTTCTCACAGAACTTCACGAAAAACTTATTTCTTTCTCTTCTCCTGATTTCACAGCATTTCCGTATTCCTGATTTTTCCACACGTTCAATTTTCTCCAACAATGGTGGGAAAAGTGCAGGAGGAATGATTGTTCGTATTTCATTGTTTTCATTTTTTGTTTTATTTTTCTTATAGTAATTGTGTGGTGATGAGGTAACGAATTATGACCGGCTCCCTATAGGCAACGCCTTATCTCGCGTCACATAACTAATTTAGGAAATATTTACTTTGCGAAATATTTTTTGCTAAATAAAAACCATACAAAAATAAAAACCACATTTTTACGTACTACTCTGTGGTAACAAATAACTTGATTATCTTGGTATGAAAATTTGAAATCGAAATATAACAATAAATAGAGCGTACTCAAGTCCTCTTGTTTTACATTCCATCTACAAATCTAGAGATCAGCTTCCACAACTAAAAGATTTCAGATTTAAATTTGCCAATAAATATTTCATAACTTTCCTGCAAAATGTTATTTCGCGGATATTCCAAATTTGACAACCGTGAAAAATAAATTTATATATCGTATTAGTCAGAAGCTTGATTGCCTGTTGCCAAAGTATTCCAAAAATTAAATAATGAAAAAAAATATATATTAAAAAATAATTGCTGAACTACCCCACTGTGGGAATACCTGCCGACGGCATGGCATTCACGAGTGACAAATGACGCGTTGTCATACCTAAGGTCCAATCTAGGATTAACATTACAATGAACAGACCCTTCCTGGCCTGTAGGCCCTACTAGACCGAGATTCCGGTAAATAGCGTAAGTAAGGATAAAAATATAGAAGCACATCCCAGACAGAGAGCAAAAATACAAGCCATTTTTTTGCTAAAAGTGTCCAATACAATTCTAACAATAAGTTCACGAAAAGGTCCAGCGAATTAAAAATAAAATTGCATTAGTTGATCTTATTTAATTTAATCCTTCACCTCGATTAATAATTCCACAGATCGGCAAAACAAATTCTCTTTGAGTGAACAAACTTCGATATCGTCAAGATAAATTCCATGTCATCCAAGTTAATTATGTTTCTCAACTTATTTTATTTCCAAAACAGATAAGTTTAGTCTTTGCCCAGGTTAAAAAATTAAATTAAATTAGCTGACAAATTTTTGTAAACTTGTTCAGATCTTTCTGTTTTGTTAAAGTTGTAAAATTATTTTTAAAAACAACAAATTGCCAATGATTGAGTGAATTGTCTCATTTTATTTTCATGCGAAAATTAGACGCCGCGTATAAAAATTGGCAAATTATAGGACGAAAAGACTAATAGATAAGTGAAAGAAGCAGCCTTGTTTAAAATTGGTCTTGAGTTTTCTGATTTAAAAGTTGTATTTTTTATTTTTCACTTTTGTCAACTACTCCCCTGTACAGCCAAGATGATTATTTTGCACAGGCGGCAGGGCGGATGCTATTATCCGCCAAACTGCACAATTTCCAGCGCAATGTGTCAATGTGATCGCAATGTAATACGCGACCACACCCACTTCACGTACCACGCGACCACACCCACTTCACGTACCACGTGACCCGCCTGGTTACCCCTGACCTCACCACCACCACGTTCAATCTGCCACAACAAATCAGTTCAAAATTTTCATACTTGACCGAACTCGGGAACAAATCCGCCAAATAGGTGGCTGCAGGCGTGGTCACGTTGCGATGAAAACTCTGAAATCGAAAGGTTTCAAATGTTGCAAATTTGGCAAAAGTTGGAAAATAAACTCTAATAGCATATTAGTCAGAAAGGCGGAATAAGATATACTTAATTTATCCATATTTTTAGCTTGCACAAATGATAAGTACAAGTTTAACTCCATTCAATTTCAGCCATGGCTTGTTGGTCGAGTGGTCTCTGTCTGGGATTGTGCACTTTTGCAAATAATGCTGGGATTTGAACTCGCAACTAATTCTCAATTTGGAGTTCTAGCAGAATGAAATGAACCAGACCCATGAACTCCTTGACTTCATCCCAATGTGGAAATTCTGTCGGATTGACGAGTAATTTAGAACGTTGAGCATATTGTGTTGTACGTACCGGTACGTACCCTGTGGAAGGCCCTTGATCACCGAGATTCCGGTAAATAAATAGCGTAGGTAGGTAATAATAAAGTATTTTAAAAATCCCTGACAGAAAAACAAGCCACATTTTTTGCCCAAATTCATAATTCTAAAAAATTCCACGAAAAAGCACAACAAATCAAACATAAAATTTTTGAACTGAACTGACGTTATGTAATTTAATCCATCTATTTATTTATGAGTCACAGATCGGCAAAACAAATTCATGTCCAAGATAAATGTTACCCAAGTTGATCAATTTCCGAACTTATTTGATTTGCAATAAGAGAAGTTTAGTGTTCTTGCAGGTTAAAAAATGAAATCAAATTAAAATATGGTGAAAATTTTTGTAAACTTGGTCAAAGGCGTCTCTATATTTTACAATTTAATAAATTACTTTTAAACAATTACCCATTTTACATCTTGCCAATGACAGGGTGAATTGCCTCATTGCATTTTCATGCGAGAATTAAACGCCACGTATAAAAATTTGTAAATTACAGGTCGAAAGGACTAATTAGATCAAGGGGAAGATACATGCTTAATAAAATTGGTTTTGAATTTCTGAATCATAAGTTATATTTGTTATTTTTCACTTATGTCAACCACACCCCTTTACCCCCAAGATGACTATTTTGCTCACTGGCGCGAGTGGATTGTATCATACGCCAAACTGCACAATTTCCAGGGCAATGTCGCGATAAGATCGTGTGTAACAGGCGACCACACCCACTTCGCGTACCACTTCCCAATTAATACTAGTAAAATTAAATAATATACGAAATTCACAGTTTGAAAACTTAAATAATATACGAAATTCAGTTCAGTTTGAAAACTTTACTCAACGACACCACCACCGATGAGCGACTAGTTTTAATGCCCATCGCGTAACCTCACGGCCATCTGAAAATCAGCAAATTCCAATAAATCTACTACACCATATATCGAGATAATACCACCATATATCGCAGGTGAAGATGCGTTATGTGCTAACTGATTTTTCATCCCAGCCAGAATACCATCCACTTTTGAGACAGGAAATACAACGACTAACAAATTAAGTAGCACAGACTGCAGATTAAGCTTCGTCAAAACTTGAAGTGAACCTGTTGGTTGATATTTTCTCTCTGATTTTATAAATGGTGATTTTATAAAATTCCAACAACATGAATACTTTTGCTTTTTCGCTTCACAAAAGACATAAATATTACAAGAGTTAGAGTTGTCTAACCTCAGAGTATAATTATCGGGAATTTGGGGATTGTATCACACTAATTAAATGTCAAACTGGTATTAAAATATTGCATTATAACTTTAGTAATCTCTTCTACTAGTTTATAAATGAATCGACATGAACATTTTACTTAATACTCAATATCAAATTTAGGTTGATTAGATTTGATGTATTCCTCGTGTTCAAGTCTTGCCCACACATAACCATGGAACTTAATTATTTTGTGAAATTTTCTAATAAAAAATTTCTTTGCTTCATAATTTTATTAGTAGGCCCACATGTTTCACACTTGCGAAGTTTAAAGTTTTTAACATTGAATATTTCATTTGCAAGAAAGAGGTGTAGTGTGTATGACTGATTTGAGGGTTGTTTCACATAACGTCGAGAATGCATAAACTCCCAAAAAATCGGGCACATTCTTCACACTGGGTCCCGTTCGAATTGTTACGGGGAAGATGAATGATTCCGTGGATGTTATGAATAAGCTTTGGATCTGAATCTGAGTGAGTGAAGTATTGCCCCATTCAGGCGAAACCATTACAAAAAAATTGGATGAGAAACGGGGTGAAAGTGAAGTGGAGAAAGTGAGCGAGGTTTTTACCACTTGCAATTTTTTTTACTTTCTTCTTTTCACAAAGTGTTCGATGGAATGCTGAAAAAATTCAAACTGGACTATTTTGTGGATTCACTCTTGGAAATCCAGAATTACAATAAGACCAAGCCGTATTTATATACAACTCTACTAAAGTGGCACTGATAATTTATACCATGTAGTACTAGCTCGGTATTAAAGTTTTACCATATTGGTAGCAAATTTTAACGGTGCGGAATAACTTTAATACCAAAAAATCCCGAGTTTATTATACTAGATTGCCAATAGTATTTAAACTGGTTTTCATAAAGTTCATTCGGAATCTTGCAACCGCGTAAAGGTTACAAATTCACAAATTTCGAGATACGAACGATATAATTTCATCACAAATAATAATGACCCCCTATAATTAATTTTCATCTTTATTGATAATTCTTCTTGTAAATTTATTAAGTAAATAATATTTACAAGCGTCAAAATGTAGCAATTTTGAATATAACATGTCCAATTCCAATTTTGCTGTTTCATAGTAGGGTCGATGCGGGTTAGTGTGGCCACGAGGCAATTGTGGCCAAACGATTTTTCTATGGTAAAACCACGAATTTTTCAAAAACAAAAAAATTCACATCAAACTACAACTCCTTCTTGTTCTAAATTATAAATTTGGAGATCTCGGAAAATTAATTATCTCACAAAATTAGTGCCATCAAAATTTCCTAATTAAAAACATTTTCGGATCAATATGATCAGGCGATGTTTAAATTTGGATTTCATAGATGTTAAGGAAGGCCAGCATTATATTTAATTTTACTCAACACAATATGCACCCATATTATATTTGTACATTAATGTTTAAATAAAGTAGCTGCCCAGTCAATTAAAAAATTGGTGTCCACACTAACCCTCCAATATTATGAATTGAGGGGTAAGTGTGGCCAGTAGTGATAAGTTAGTGTTTGACTTATATTTTAGCCAAACCATTGTTTGTGACATATCATTTTTCTCAGGTAGATAAGGGAATCCCGATTAGATAACTAAAATGTAGCAACCACACTCCCAAGGGGGTGTATTTTGTAATGTTTTTGACTTTTTGACATTAACAATGCCAAGCGATGTAATATGTTGCTTCTTTCAGCTCTATGAGGGAACCTTAAACGAATAATACAAATTTCGCAACCACACCCCCCAGTGGGTGTGGTCCTCAGCGCCTTTTCGGCTTTAACGGAAATATGTCACATGATACTTAATTGTTCTTATCCCCTTGAAAGAATCTCGACATAAAAATTAAAATATGAGACCACACCCCCAGTGGGTGTGGTTTTCAGCGACCCTAATAATTTAAAGAACCAAGCGATGTAGTACGTATGTCATTTCTCTCAGCCGATATGATTTCGACTGATTAACCAAAATTTGGAAACCACACCCCCAGAGGGTGTAGGTGTGGTGGAAATATTCTAATCGAACTGAGTGACATACAACATGGCTTGGTGTCTTTAAATTCGAAAAGCATTTTAATGCGAAACATGTGTGCACAAAAATATATACATGTCCACACTAACCCTTCCCCTGGCCACACTAACCCCATTTGGTGGGGTTAGTGTGGACACTGTTTTTTGATTTTGAATAATTGATAAATATTACTTCCAATTATATTTTTAAACTTTTTTTGGTCATAAACTACACCCAAATAGTTAGATAATGATACACGATGCTATAAATAGGTATTTTTGACCCGCAACCATTTTTGTTTCACTGAAGAACTCAGATTTGGAAAAAAGTGGCCACACTAACCCGCACTGACCCTATATAAATCTCACGTTACTGCTTCTTTTGATAAATTTTTCCATAAATTCGTAAAGATTACGAAGACAAATCAGGTCACAAATTTTTCCTAGCGCGATACAGAATATCCATTAAAGGAAACTAGCCTCTTGAATTTTTGAACATTTGCACCGTACACTGAGAATAAAATGTTAGCAAATTGCTACTGGGCGGTGTCTATATATGACCTCACCGGTTTGGTAACGATTTGCTACAGAATTGTAGTAAATTTGCTACCATCTTGTAGCATTTCATTATCTCGCTGTTACGGTTAGTCAAAATGTGGTAGCAAATATACTACAATTCCGTAGAAAATCGCTACCAAACCGGTGAGGTCATATATAGACACCGCCCAGTAGCAATTTGCTTACATTTTATTCTCAGTGTAATTTTTACAAAACTTGCGGGTTACAAACACCCTCCTAACGTTTTTCACGGTTTTATTTTATACCGAATGAGAAGCTGGGAGCACTACTCACCCGAAATCACGGAAGGAACGCGAGTTTATATATACCAGAAAAATGTGATGAATCGACATCGTTATTACAAGAGGAAAATAGCAAAGATTTCTGTTTACAAATTGCATGGAATTAATCAGGGTGAAAGTTGACGAGGTTTTTTTTAATATAACGTTTTTCTTGCGGGAAACTTATGATTTTATTCTAATTAACAATCTGTTTTTTCTGACTGAAGTGAAACCTGCATGTTTCAGACTTTATGCTTTTCATCATTGAGTAAATAACATCAGCTATGTAAATAAAGTCTTGCGCAGATATCATGCCATGCTTCCAACAACATTACTGCATTGGCTGATTACATAAGACTTTCACCACCGCAATTAAAATTTAACTAATTTAAGAACAATGTATCCATTGAAAAATTAATGGAATTACTTGAAGTGATTTACTTGATGTCATTTACTTGATGCTGTTACATCTGAATTATCTCCGGAAGAATTAATATTTTTTAATAAGTCAGCAAATGAGTTCAAAGCTTCGCATAAAGTTTGACGCAGTTTTTTTTTAAATAACATTTTACAAAATTTAACTGTTCTGATCGCTATTAAATTCTTAACCAGTTTTGAGATAAAATGTAAATTTTTGAAGAATTTTAATTTTTGTCAAAAAGTTAAAATTTGGTCAAATGTCACTGGAAAAATTCCAACAATAATTTTGGATTAGACCACTACTTCTAGAGGCCTGTTTTGCAAACTGTATAATTTTAAAAAAATACATTTTCAGTGTGTCGTTATTTCGTGTAACTTTGACGCTGCTTCTAATTCTTATTACAGAAATTAATGTTAAGTAATTTCTTAGATAGGATTGGCGTAGAAGATCAAGTTGTTTGAAATAATGATGTATATTGTCAAACCATATTCGAACTTCTAACAATATGTATCACCTGTAAAAAACGAGTTCGTTTATGCTACACCGTTCTCGGAAATTCCAAGAAATCGATTACAAGAAATCTGCCGGACTATACTATTACCAAACTTGTAATTGTGAAGAGGTTTTCGTGCAGTTAATTCGGATACGTGTAACCATGTAAACTTTACAAAATGCATAAATTTTAATGTCATAATTTCAACAGGACCAATAACCCAAGAATTAAACCTTTGTTTATAATTCCGTTTGCCAACTTATTAAATAATACTTAAAAGCGTTAAAATGTAGCAGTTTTAAAAAAATTATGCAACCTTGGCATCTTTCATAGTATACTAACATGGCTTCATTTTGATAAATTTTTCTATAAATTTGGAAAGATTATATAAGAAGACGAATCCGGTTACAAATGGTTACACAGATTCAACGATCGATTTTTGGAAAGTTCGGGACATAATATTTTATAAAGCTTGAAGGTTACATGTTAAAATATGCATGTTAACAAAGTTTTCCATATTTATCAATTTTTAAGTTTGTCGACTTTTATGAGGGCTGAGCATTTTCCAACCTTTTTCCCAGGACAAGGGATTAAAACGGTCCTTTTTGTTTTTATGCCTCATTAGAAGGGACACTTCGTTTGAGCATAACTCTG